TGCTCTCTAGTCTAGACAGATAAAGACGAGTGATCTTGGAGAGCAAGCTAGCTGTGAGAAAATATTCTTTGGGGGATCAAAGTTTGTTAGCTGAGATAAAATTTAGTACGAAAATGTGCGCTTGTAAGGTGCTTGTGAAAGATAGAATGAGTGGAGTCCTTTTATGGAATTGTCATAGTGCAGATGATGTATTGAATAAATATTTTAGTGCAAAGTGGGTGCCTGTGAGACTGTGAGTTAACGTAAATATATACATATAGTAATTTTAGAAAAAAGACAAAATTGCAAGAAGTAGAGTTGCTCGCTTACTTATTAAAAGATAAAAATATTTTTTGTTAATTTATTTTCTTTTATAAATTAGAACAAAATTAATACTCTAAAAATGTGATCAATCTTTTGTTGGTTTTCAATTTTCTTAAATAAAACCTATAAAAGGTAAAATAAGAGCTAAAAAGTGCAAATTAAACTTCTAAAATATTTATATACTAAGAAGTAGTGAGAAATCAAATATGGTCAAAAATTAGATGCTCACAATTATGAAACGACATGTGACAACCATCCAAATAAATTGTTAACTAACCCTTTTATGTTTCAACATCGTGCTCCTTAATTATCATATTATACAACTAGGGTTAGTTTATCATTTTAACATTTCAAATGAAGCTTGAAAAGCTTGTTTAATGATAAACCCAAAACTAATGATTTTTTTTAATGGTCCGGCAAGGATAAATAGTGTTAGGTTGATTAAGGCTACCACGTTAGGAACGGGTTGTTATACTAACAAAGCTATGTCTGTTGGTGGTCGCTTAAATATAGTCTGAATTTATTAATTTAGGTGGACAAGCTGTTATTATTCGTAAAGAATTAAGTGTTTAGTGTAGATTCGTTTTCTTCTGTAAAATTTATGACATTTATAACATTCAACCATACTTTAACTTTTCTTACAATCTCGCGAAGCAGAGGTGAATCCAAATTTAAACTCTATGAGTTAAACCTTAAAAACTGTATCTATTTCAGGCACGAAGTGCGGACAATTACACCAATTAGGAAATACCAACAAAGTCCTTTCTTGCATTTAAATTGATAGAGAAAGTGAGAAATTCCATTAGTTTTTTTTTATTCCCTTACTTCAAGAGCTCCCCACCTTGCTCTTGGGATGACTCGAACTCATAACTTATTGGCTGAAAGTGAAGGGTGCTCACCGATAGAACAACCCACTCTTGTCAGAAATTCCATTAGTTGATCAACTCTTCTGGTTTGAGTGGACTTCAAACTCATTTAACGAAAATTTATCATTATCTAAGAACGTAAGGTTGAGAAGGCCTGCTGGCTCCATGTATCCAATGTTAATAATGGGCCCGAACAGCTAAGAATACAAGACTTGCACAAATAGGATGATTTAAGGCCCCTCTTTATTTTCCGGGAAAATTACGCAACATATTAAACATTTATACTGTATTTATTATTTGTAGTTATACTTTCAGCAACTTTACCATTCATAGCTATATTTAAATTTTATAGCAAATTCATAAAATAAGAGATTAATTATTTTAAACTGAAATGAGAGAGCAACAAGCTCTCATACCTCAGTTGGTTAGAGCGCATGCTTAGCTAGTGAAGGTCTTGAGTTCGGATCTCAACAAGAACATTTTATTTTTCTGTATTTTTATATTTTGCCTTATTTGCATTTGTTGCGCGAACAAATACAGTTGATACAAGTTGTATCCTTTGTATACACCATTGTATTTCGCCTTTGTTAGAGTTGATACATATTGTGTTCGTTGCACAAACGAATATAATTGCGTGAACGAATACAGTTGATACATATTGTATTCATTGCGCGAACGAATAATTGACATAAGCTGTATTCGTTGCGCGTTTGAATACAAGTGATACAAGTTAGTAACAATTGACTGTAGCTAACGAATGATAATTAGGCATATTATAGTTATTAGGTTCTAAATTATAGTGGTTTATGAAAATTCCTCTTATTTTCTTCCCATGTAAGGAAGTTTTGCAAAAATAGTCTTGGAATTACACTTGGAAGAGTACATGTTCAACTGTTCACAAGTTTAGCCAGATGAACTAATTTTGTCTGCGTTATTCAATTGTTCATAAGTTTGCCCAGCAACCATAACTTGGTATTATCTTTATTCTGTCTATCTTGTCAAATTATTCATGAATTATTTAGACGAGCAAGTCTTTCATGTGTGTTCAATTATTAACAAGTTTTTTCGACTAACCACCTATCTTGTCAAATTATTCACAAATTTTATCGGACAGACAAATCTTTCATGTGTTGTTCAATTGTCTCAATTTGAATTATAAACATTTTTAGTAAAGTGATTACACTTTGTTTTTTCAAAAAAAAAAAATCTTTTCAAACGCAAGTACAATGAAGTTGGTAATTTCAAATCCTACTTGTCTATAAGACTTTAGTAAATCGTCTCTCTTAGACTTAGGTAGTCATAATGACCAAAGTTTTAAATGTAAAATTAAATTATCAGTTGATGACATATTCTCCCTCCGCCCGTATGAGAGATCAAAAGTTTAAATTTTAATAGAATTTTTTTTTAAATACTATTTTATTATTATATGTCTAAGCCTCCATAAATAGAATTTTCCAACGTCTGTAGTAGTGAAAGGCACTTCATTTGTTCTAATTTATATGATGTTTTTTGCTTCTTGAGATTTAGACTATATATATTTTAATTAATATTTTAAAATATATTTTAATCATATTAACATGAGAAGAATTGTCATTTATAATATTTCTCGTATAATATTACGTTATTTGAATTTAATTTTAAAATATTTAATTAATCTAATTCAATTTAATTTTAAAGATGAGTCAAATTAATATTTTAAAAAACAGATATATTAAACAGAGGAGGTAATATAGGTATCGGAAAAAATATTGTATCTGAAAAAATTTATCGAGGTGTGTTAAACTAAGCCGAACACCATTATGCAAAAAAAAAAAAAGTAAAAATAAAGGTATAGGAATTAAAATATTTTTTATTTTATTTTGTGCCTCACACAACTAGTATAACTGACACTAATTGTGTGAGTCTATGTTTTGTCTTATAAGAAAGTGGACCTCCACCTACGACCGTTAGGTCTTGGGTTCGAGTCACGCTGGAGGAAAAGTGTGGAAACACTATAGATCCTCCTAATTTGGGAGATGTTTAAAAAAATGCAAAAATTAGATCCACTTTGTTGTGAGATAAAATAAAGGTGAAAATAGCACGGGTTAGCCAGTTTCAGACTGGTAATTGAAAAATCGCCAGTGTTTGCAAAGTCATTGAAAAATAGCCACTATTTTGCTACAACACGAAAAGTTCCAGCACAATATACTGTAGATTGATGCACCTGTGTATGAACTTCCAGCATATTATGCTGGAAGTCTAGCATACGGAAAGTTCCAACATAATATACTGGAGATTGGAGCACCTGTGTATGGAATTCCAGCATATTATGCTGGAATTCCAGTATATTATGCTGGAAGTTCATACGTAAAAAATTCGAACTCTAGTATGTTATGTTGGAATATTTTTCGCATTTTGAACAGTATTTTCGTTCAAATTTATTTTTACATGAAAAGTGGCTAAAATTTAATTAATTTTGAAGCTGTAACTATTTTTTAATTACTACCTGTAAATCTGACTATTTTTAAATTTCACCCAAAATAAAGCCTTATACACATAATAAAGTTTTTCTAAAATGTGGGACAGGGAGGGAGGGAATCAGTGGGTGAAAATGAGGGAGAGGTAGCTTTCAAGACTTTAGAAGCATGTGGCTAAGAATGGTTCATTTGATCTACTTTTGTGATTTTGACATCTGTATTTGGTCTGTGGGCCCAACAACAAAATCCAGAACAAGCCACGCTCGCCACGGCTTCTGGATTCTCACGTGTCCAATGGCGATGGGCCATGGCTCCTCTACTGGATTGGTTGTGGACCACCTCCACACGGATAATATAATCTGCTTTTGTATGCCAACTTTTCAACCCCCCTCCCCGCCAAAAAAAATAAAATTGTTTTGTTTCATTTTTACCTTTTTTTTGGGGCTCATTTTAAGGGATGGTGAGTCGGCAAATTAGGACTGAGAAATAAGAAGTAAAATACTCTTTGTGAATTGAAACCTTCAATATATTTTTAATAGGTAATTTTTTAAATTAAAATATACTATCTATGTAGAATATTTATACTATTCGCGTATATAAATTAAAATTTTATGTATACTATATATTTCTTTATCTCGTATAATTTTGTTGGTCTTTCGAACAATGAAATAAGTTAGGTGATGTGTAGGATAACTATTCGTGTTATTGACGATTTAATTCTAAGACTTTGAAATTATTTATCTTATTCCCTTTTGATCTTCTTTTGTTGGAGCTATTGCTCATTTGATGACTCATACACACAATCTTAGGTGGGACCATTTGAGCAACCCCTCTTATTTTTTAAATCATGTACATAAAACTTGTTTTAGGCTTCATATCCCATAGGGCATGACAAAAGGAAATAGATGGCAGTGGCAATTAGGCATAGTGGCAACTATCTTCAATATATACACACACATATGCTGCTACATTTTCTGAAAAAGTATACTTATACAAAGGTTCCTCAACATAGAAATAGCACACTTGCTTACAATCATAATCCCACGTAATGAGCAACAAAATGAATATTTTTTTAATAGTGATGTTCGGATCATTTTGTGTGCGCCTCAACCAAAAAAATGAGCTATTTTATCTTTACGACAAAACTATGTAACATACTAAAAATGAATGCAGTTCAACCAACAACATATGGATGAAATGACCATCTGCCTGCAAAAGCAACAGCAACCACACCAAACCATGTAACATTGCCGACTATTTAAGTATTATATTTTTGCAAAGGGCTATTTGGACAAGAAAATGACCAATATCGTAACTGATAGAAAGGGCTATTAAGAAAAGAAAATGACCAACCTTAGAAGTTGGAAGGCTAAAAAAAAAAATAGCCACCTTTTGGTTGTGTGTTGTCTCTCCACGCTTTATTTTTTCTCATTTCCTTTTTTGGTTTCTTCATTTCTTCTCTCTTTCCTCCTTCCCTTTAGCACTCTTCCTCTTTTCCTAACACTACTCAACCACCAGTTCCTTTCCCCCTCTTCTTTCTCTTTTTGTCTCCTTCATCTTCTCAAGAGAAAACTTTAACTTTGTGTGGTACACTACAGGCACAGTTAGATTTTGACTTTGTTTCATACATCTTTCTGTTTGATTAATTCTATGGTTTTCTGGGTCAGTGGATATTGGAAAATGACTTGAAGAGTGAAAAAAATAGATATAAACAAATATGAGAACCCTTTGTGATGTTTGTGAAAGTGCTGCTGCTATACTATTTTGTGCTGCTGATGAGGCTGCTCTTTGTCGTGCTTGTGACGAAAAGGTATTTATCGAATTCCATTTTCAGTATTTATCAGTTTATCTGCCATTTGTAACCCTTATATATGTCGATTTCTTTTTCTAGTTGATGCTTAGACATGGCCTTTTTTTAATAATCCTGAATTGGTTGATTCATTATTGATCCATATTGTAACTCAAGGTTTCTACTTTATGAAATAATATACACTATCTAACTTACATAGATGAAGTTATATACTTTGAGCCTCCTATTCTGTTAGTTTTCAGCAGAGATGGATCTAGGATTGTTTACATATTCCACTGGGTTAATATGCCTGCTCTTCTGGAGTATACAATTCAATGCAATCCCTTTATTCGTAACTGCATCTTTTGGAATTCAACATCCACCCCTTGATCAACCTGAATAGACTAGATGCCTTTTTTTTTTCTTCGTTTGATAACAGATTAACAGTGGTGTCTGCATCTTGGGTGCACCTTGACTGTTCCAACAAGTACCTACTATTTACCACCAGCATAAGTACCAGATACTCTCCCTCCCAAGGCTTAGGCAGTTAGGGAAGAAATTACCCAAGTTTCTTTTTGTTTCGGGTGCAGGCGCGGAGCTAGTAGCCCCGGCTACGAGTTCGGGCAAACCTAATAGCTTATGCTCAAACAATGTATTTGCGTCAAAAGATTCATTAAATACTTACAAATATTAAATTTATAACCCAGTTATTAACACTTGAAGTCGTCGTTCTAAAATCTAGATCTCATAAGGTTGAAATGCTGGCTCTTCCTCTGCTCTGGTGTGATTCGACGTAACTTCATTGACTGCTAGGCCATAACCTTGGGTGCTAATTGGCTATCAGTCTTTCTTTGGAATGATTCTCTTCATAACACTTTTCTGTAGTTAGAGGTGTATTTTCCAATGCGTGATTTGGAAACTTCTTCATATTTAGCACTCGCTTATTCACACCTCATCTCACCTATTTACTGCCCTTGTACTGATTCTTTGGGTGCCAAGACGCTTCTAGTGTTTGGAAACACAAAATGAGATAAGTTGTAGGATGTTATGTGACCTTAATAAGGATTGAAGAACTATCACTTTTAAGGAACTAATTTGGTAAAATATAACTGGCACATCTAGTTAATATCTGTTTGTTTTCATTTTTTAACTCAAAAGTAGCAATCCATCTTTACTCTACTGAAAGAAATTTTCTTCTATCTGATAAGGTCCATATGTGCAACAAGCTTGCAAGTCGACATGTAAGAGTTGGGCTTGCTGACCCCAGTAAAATCCAACGTTGCGACATATGTGAAAATGCACCTGGTATGTAGACTCATTTCTTTCTCATTTCCTTTTCCTGTTTCTGCTGGTCAAGATGGCAAAATTATATGAAGTATGTGCTTCTTTGCTGGATACTTTTATGTAGCTTTCTTTTATTGTGAGATCGATGGAAGTTCCCTTTGTTTGCAATGTGATATGATTGTCCATGTTGGAGGTAAAAGAACCCATGGAAGATATCTCCTTATAAGGCAGAGAATTGAGGTTTGTAAATTCTTGCTAAGACAAACCCTGGTTCAGGTTCCTGTAGTTTTTAGGGAAAAAGTCTATACTCATTCCGTCTTTTTATGTCATTCTGTAGTTTCCAGGGGATAAATTGGGCCCTTCAAATGAACTAGGATTGCCATCTACTGAACAAGGTGATGTAAGGAGGGAGCCCGCACAGCCCTTTAAGCTCCCTATGATGGACAACCACCAACCAAATAGGGACACTGCTAAGGCAGCACTAGAAAATAATGTGAATAGTAGTGTGAAAATGGAGAATGAGTTGATTGACCTTAACTCCAGACCTCAAAGGATGCATGGTCAATCGTCAAATAATCAGGTAATCTACTCAAATTGAATGTACTATTTCACTCTCTTTGCTCAGCCGTCGGTACCAAGTAAGTATTAAATTAAATGCAGGAACAAGGAATGGACATGCTTAGTGGCAGCAATCATGAGTCAGTCGGCCTGGTTCCTGATGGACCCTTCAAACGAGAGCCAGAGAAGTGATCAAGGTATATAATCTACTTAATGGATTTGAGTTTGGAATGTCTTTCTTCTCTCAACTTTGTCAAAGTCTTGTAGTATTTTGAATTTTACCTTATGAATTACAATGTGCACATACATAAGCAATATGCCATACTTATTTAAAAATTCTGAAGAAGTGTTTAAAAACGTTAAGGTGCGCTTCAAGGTGGTCGGTTTAAGAAAGATACCGGAGAGCAATTGCACCTTTTAGTTGAGATGTATTTTCACTGCGATTTTCTTGAGTGCCTCACTGGTACTAGGAATTTACGAGATGAGGATAGCATTACAAGTTTAACAAAGAGAGCAGGGATGGAAGAGGGAGAATTGCCTTCCCAATCATTTCAGTTTTTGGTGGATTTCGTGGTAGTGAATTTACAGTACATACATAGAGTCATAAAGTGTATATGGGTAGTTTCAAATTAGATTGAAAACAACACTATTTTGGTTTTATCAACCAATAAAGGAACAGAACAAACATAAAAAAGTTGTCGTCCATGCACAAGGAACACATTTCTCGTTTTGTTTTTCGTAGGGGGCCTTATAAGAATTGAGTTATGCCTAAAGAAATCATTCTACTAAGCGCCTTACTGCATAACTCAATTCTTATAAGTTCATTCTGGATAACTCATTAAGAAATAGAAGTAATAACGTACAAAATCAGTTCCTTATTCAGTTCTTTCTTTGAAGATGGTGCACAACTGAAAACCTAAGCATTAAATAAGATATAGAAATTCTTTCCATGGTTGCATGAAAGTGCCCGGGCACCTGGAAACGCACGGTTCTCTCTTTCATTGACCCCATCTTCTGGTTCGGCTTCAAAATTGTTTCTTATTATTTAATATTGAAAACCAAACCATCCCAACAATTTTCCCAGAGAAAAAATTATCACGTATGAAATACTATGTATTTCTTTGACTTTTAATTTTCTGAAACTTCTAATATTAACTTTCTTAAAATTGTATTATTCCGTAAAATATTTAGATTGTCCTCTTCTGTCAGATTGTTATCTAAAAATAAAGGGTAATCTGCCTATAAATTTCTATTCACCTTAAGAATGTTAATATTTAACCATCAAAATAAAATAATTTCGTGCTTCTACTACTATCCATGCCCCGAGAATTGTATACACTATAACTCTACCAAATAGGATGTTTGATTTGCCTTTGGTTCCTAATATGAGTTGTTGAAAAAATAGTTGTACGATTCGATTGGCACCTTCCCTTGAAAATGATCACATAATGCCTTTGGTGTGGTTGGAGCTCCATTGTTCTTTCTTTTGCAATCTGTAGTATAGTAGAGGGCTTCATCTAGTTATGCTTCATTATCTCATGACTCTTATGGTTCTTTAGACTTGAATGAAGCACCTTTACCTATGGTGATTTCTTAGTGGGGAAATAAGGGGGTTTTTATTCTTGTTGATTAGATAACCTTTTACTTCGATTAAGTGTTCAACTAGCAGAGGATGTATTGGAAGACTTCAGATAAAACTAGCCAATTATTGGGAATGTTTGTCATTTATTATTAGTTTAACTTTTTAAAAAAAGAATCAGTTCTGACTCATCAAGGAAAAATGAAGATTGTTCAGTTCTGTGATATAGTTTCATTTACTCCTTTATAACTACTGCAGGTATGGCAATAAGTAGGGGTTGAAAAAGCATTACTCTGTCAGTCGGTGAAAATAGTTTGCCCTTAAACACACTCGCTACGGAGAGTACCAACATTTCAGCGTCACCCTCCATTATCCACTTATATCCCTCTCCCGCTGCTATTTTTTAATTGAAATACCCTCCCTTTGTTAATAGGATTGGGGCAAATATTTTCAAGTGTAGGATGCAAATTCCCATTTCTAAAACCTAGTATCATCTTATGCAAAATCTTCAACGTTTAGTATCCGTTAACAGACCCAAGAAACTACATGGGAACACCCTCTTCTCCTTCCTCCCCCCCTTCTTAGACACTAATTAATGCATTTTTGTTCCTTTTTTTCCCCCCCGAATCATGTAACTAAGACAATGCTTTAAATGCTATTCTGTACGTGGCCTTATGATCCTATGAGATTCTTGCATTTTCCAGCTCTTCTATTTGTGAAGCCTGGTTCATGAAAAATATTTGGCTAGTTAGCTACCCTGAATTTCTGCTGTTAAATTGTATAAGTTATTATGCTCTTCAAGGGGAATATTGGAATATGATTAGAAATTCGATGCCCTTGCCTTTCATGGATCTGACATTGCCGGTTCTATCAAAATGTCCTGCACGATCCCTCCATTGACCTGCTTGAGACATCTAAGCTTATTTCTTTTTTCCGTTTTGTACCCTTTATTTCTTTAATGATGCAAATAAATGTTTACTTTGCTACTGAACTCATTAGTGTAAACTGGGGCCGGAACTTGAATATAGACTTTTGCTTTCCCTCAGCTGGAGCTTTGAAGGACAGGGCCTTTGCTCAGACCACTCGCATTTACAGTCTGTTTGGTGGTTACCTTTATATCGTAATACTACTTATGCCGTTCTCCATTGAATTATCTCTTAACCCTTCTTTTGTTCTTCTCGTGGACCCTGGTCTTTCACCATGTAGCCTGTAATAGACCTAAAACCTAGAAACGCTGAAAAGCCCATAAAAAGTGAACTGGGTTGCACTCTACATTTTCAGCTGGATATTGAATATCTACTTCAAATTGTAACATTTCAGTAAGATATCTAGCTTTATAATAGAATTGCTAGATGTTCGTACCAAGTTTATGATCAATTTTGCCGCACTACTGTTGATGATCTGGAAGTGTTTTTTGCTTTGACTATATCTGTGAAATTATATCAAAGTGTAGCATAAACTTTCAATGTTTCTTATTTCTCTTAAGTGCAGATGTGAGATTGCTGCTGCCCTTCCAAAATTCAAACTTGAATTATGAATTGGAGTTGCCGGCCCTAGCTGAGTTCTGTATAATGTCAGAGCTTTAAGCAAGGCGAAGCGTTTGAACTAGTCATGACCAAGTTGAGTTTTCTCTTGGAGTGAAAGAGCACTCTGAAGTTCATTATTCAACCACTTCCATGCCTATATTTCAAGAAGAAGATCAGAAAGAAGTTCTGCCATCTTTCTTTGAGGAGAGGATAAGGCTGCAATCACCACATTTACCTCTGTATTTTCTTGTACTGAGTAATGGGAAAAACAATCTTTACAGATTCAAGATGAACTGGGACACTTATGTAGTGGTGTCATTCATTTTATTGCAGTTTGTAGTCATGAATGAACTTTTTAGTCTCATCTGGTTTGTATTTGTCTCTGTAGCAATTCTGTTATTAGACTTCATAATCATTCAAGGTTGACACAAACTATTGGGGAGTAATTGAACCACCCAAGAATCAATATGACTCACCAACTCAGAAAGGAAACAATCTTTCTTATTCTTCCTTAATATTTCTCTATATAAAAAGAATGACAATAATCAGGAAGGTTAAATGCCATTTGATTACAAAGATATAAAGATGTACTACTATCTTAAATTCCATTCTACAAAGTGGGACATATGCCATTGTTAATCAAATCTCTATCATCTACCAAGAATATGACTATACAGTTAATCAATAGAACTCAAAAGCTTCGTTTTGTGCCAACATCTGATAGAATTCATCACTCTTATTAATAACTGACCTCTGGTTCCTCTGCTGCTCGACAATATTCACCGTCTGATCGACCACAGGCATATCATATAACATCCAATTTAAATCAGCTAAGTCCTTTTCATCCCAAGAACTTCTAATTGATAATCAAGAACTTCTAATTCGGGCACCTCGTTCTGTGTCGTCATGTCCGTTTCAGATTCCACATAATGCCCTGAATTGCTCTGCATATAGTCCCCCAAATCATTCACTTGATACTGCACCCTTGCCAATGGCCGCTCAATATAATCAGTAGAACATGACTTCCTTTTGATGGCACAAAGAACATAATCTCTACAATCTTCGTCGAATTTCTGAAGAATAACATTAGAAAGCTCGTACTCCTTCATTAGCCAATGTCCATCGCTCTGATTATAGCACTGATCTTTATTCACGTAACACAAGCTCTTTTTGCATCCAATAACCACAGAAGATGAATTTCCCGTATTTTTGTAGTGAACTGATTTACCCTTATCTTGTTGTTTCCAACTCCCTTTATTTCCAACCTCTAGATTATGCCTCGCCTTGTTTTTCTTCTTCAGCTTTGTAATGAAATAGCGATAGTTACTGCTGTAGTCCGCATTATCTTCATTACCACAGGATACGCCGTGATTGTAAATTTCCCAGGGTTCTTCTCTGCCATAGACGTCGATGTTTGTTGTGATAAATCCAGAATCATTCATCTCTTGTTTAGCAATGAATCTCAACAAAAACATAAGTCGTTCTGAATCTGTAGGACGAAAACGAAAACCCTCTTGCAACTGCTCCATTCTTGGATTTTTTTCTATAAACAATAACAATGAAGCAGAAGAAGAAGAATATGAAAAGAACGTACGTAGTGTATGAGCGAGGGTTCTGAGTTACGGAGTATATTCCTATGAATTTATAGATATCTGCAGGTCTCCGTTTAGAAAAATATTAATTGGGGAACAAGTAAGGGTTTCATTGGTTGTCAAATTAATTTACTTCCACCCGAAGAAATAGCTATGGTAACTTCCTTTTTAACCAAAATATATGGAAACCTTTTTTTCCTTTTCCTAAACATATATGGAAACGCCTTTCTTTTCCCAAGCATATATATGTGAAACTTTTGAGTTCGACGAAAATTAAATATAAAAATATTGTACTCCTACTTTCTTGTGTGTTAATTCCAGAATCTTCATTATGAGTTTTTTTTTTTTCTTCCTTTTTTGACTCATTAGGAGTATTTTGAAGCACTAAAAAAATAGACCTACCGTTATAAAAGAACTATTGATTTTTTTATAAATGATGTTAGTAATTTATTTTAAATAAAATTGTATACTTTGTTGAGATTGAGAAGTTTTTTCTGTCACGTACATAGCATATACATACAAAAACTAATTTGATAAATTGATGAAATCACAAATATAAATATTTTTATTAGATTTTGATTTTCTTTCTTCCATTAAATAGTAAAACTTTTGTTTTTCTAAAATTTTCTCTCAAATATAATAAAACATGAAATGAAAAGTACATAAACCAAAATAGAAAGAGGAAAAAAGAAACAAATATCAATGCAAGTTACAATCTTCTTTTCATATTCTTTTTCATTTTTCCACTGTTTTATTTTTTTTCGTTTATATTCCTTAATCTTCTCTTCGATTCTGGAAGGCCAATAAAAATAAGGTGAAAATACTAAAATATATTAAAATCATAATCGAAAATAATGATAAATTTTCTGTAAGTAATTTTTTTATCTTAATAATCTCTGAAACAATGGATCTCAGCATGTAAATGCCTTTATCGTTGAGCTTCTTCCTGCAACACTGTTATTTGTGGAATTAAGCATATTTTTTAATCAACCCAGTAGAACAATAAAACCAAGAAGTAAAAGACTGAAAAACATAAAAATAAATATTGGCCATGCATTAGGAAGAAGCATATGTTTACATATATAGGTAACACATCTTCTAACCTTAAGGCAGTAGAACAATGGTTTTGCTATACCATATTGACACTTATTATTATCTATACAAACAGGCACCTCCAGTTGTCCCTACAACCCATAGATTATGATCACTCAAACCAGCAATCTCATATACAAGAACAAAAATATATATCAGCAAATTAAATAAATAATTACAGGCGTCCACACAACTCTCTTAGACCGATAAAAATAAAGTATAAAAGGGGATCTCATCTCCAAGAATCAAAATATATATTTTCTTATAGGGATAAAAAAGATACAGATGCACCACATGCGATATTCAATTTGATAGAAGATTGAAAGAGAAACTCTGTACATAGCTTCTCCATTTGGAAAAGCTACAGAGAACCCAAGTTTCAGGTAATTATGAACCAGATGAAAATGGGTGAAAGATTAGTTTTAAGGAGGAAGAGAGGCATACTAATTGGCACCATTATATTCACTGTTGTAAACTTTTCTTTATCTAGGGAGGCATCCGTTCAAATTGCTACAGTTTCAATCTTTTTGGAAGAACATTAAGTTTTATTTACCTTATCACTGAACATAAATAAATAGAAAAAATTAGGGATAAAAGCAAAAATACAGGAAAAAAGATAAATAGCAATCCTCATTTCTGGAAGATGCCACATCAGATTTACTATGCCCATCTTTATTATATATATATATATATATATATATATATATAAATAAGGCAAAGATAACTTTTAGCCCGTGGCCAAAATTATTTATACTTGGTAGTCGCAAAAATGTATAAAATTCATATATTTTTTGTATATATATATATATATATATATATATACACACACATTTTTTGGATATTATTTTAGAGATTTTTACATAAATATCCGGCCATATTCATTGTTTACTTTTTCTAGTTATATACATAGATTATATATTGATTATACACAATTATACACATATAATACATAAATTATGCATATATTATATCTCCACCAGCTATTTTTAGTTTAAGTAATTGGATGAACGGCTAGTTGGGTTAATTCTTTATTTTTATTTTAAGAGTATCATTTTCCCATAAAAATCTCCAAAAACCAAATAGCGACAAACTGTAATACTTCTCCACTTGGTTTAACATCTCATGTATTGGTTACTTACAATTTAATCTGTATAAACGTGCACGATGGCATCAAGTATTTTTACCACTTTAATAGTATCCACAATGAAGAAAGAAGCTATTTCAAGATAAAATATAGCACAAAACAATTCCAGGTTTATATTTCATTAAGCAACACTAAGTAGTCTCAATCAGCAATAAAGTTTATTAAAGTGGTTAATTAAAAAAGTACAGGTAATCAAAAACAAAAATACTCTTCTCTATGGCTTTACTATTAATTGCATAACTTATATGAGAGAATTCATAATTTCTCTGCTTCAATATAATCATTCAGCTCATCATCCTTTTTTCTTCTGTTCTTAAAAACTTCAGTGCAGTAACTTAGTAGACATAGCCTTTTACAAACATTCCTTGTTTAGCTTCATCTGATTCACCCTCGCCGGTGTATTTTCCGAGCTGAGCAAGAGAGTTGGCTTTGGCCCTGGTAAGTAAAGCATCCTGAGCAGCCTTAACGTTCTCGGGTTGTCCTCCCCATGTTTTCAAGCAAGTGTTCTGAAGAGCCCTCGCGTATGAGAACGATACGTGCCATGGGTTTGGAGCTTGGTTCATGGCATTCAAGTTCAATGTAGCCTCAACTTCTGATTGCCCACCAGACAAGAACTGCAACAATATCGAGTCAATTAGCACCAGTTAAATAGTAATTTCATACCTAGTGCCAATGTTTATGTTAGTCTCGTTGAGTGTTTATTCACTTATTCATCTATATATATCACGGGAAGTCAGATACTAATGATTCATATTCTATATGTTGACTCAGTTCCATCTTATACGGTACTTTCCTTTTTAATCTCTTTCGAAAATAATAAGTCTTTAATAACTTCTCAATGCTCATATAGTCATAGAAATGTCATAAAATGTTTAAGAGCACACGTTTTAAGGCTACTTGGGCAATGTACTGACAATCTCTCTTTGTTTGTTAAATTTCGTGCTCAGTCAAAAACTAGCTAAATTCATAGAAATAAAGGAGACTTACCATGATTCCAGGGACAGCTGGGGGAATCCTCCTTTGAAGGAGACTTAGAGTATAGTCCGCGACTTGCTGAGGAGTGGCCCTGTCTTTGCATTCAGCACCAGGAGTGACCATGCTCGGCTTTAAGAGGATACCCTCGAACATGACATTGTTCTCAGCCAAATAGAAGAAGACCTCAGCCCAAACCTTTTGGGCTACCTCAAAAGTCCTGTCGATTCCATGTTCACCGTCTAACAAAATCTCTGGCTCCACAATTGGGACCAAACCACTGTCCTGAGAAATTGCAGCGTAGCGAGCCAAACCCCATGCTGCTTCCTTCACAGCTAATGCAGATGGTCCGTTGGGAATGCTCACCACGGTACGCCTGCATAAGTTACCATAATTTTAGCAAATATCATCTTTAGACCTAACAAAGTCAATATTTTTGAAAATTATGAGGCATTCTTGAATATACCATTTGGCGAAACGTGCACCCTGTTGGTAGTATGCAGCAGTGCGGGAGGCAAGGCCATCAAGACCTTGACACCATGACTCATCATTTGAACCAGCAAGGGGAACCAAACCCTGTTAACAGACAAAATGATTAGGGGATTTTGATAGAAATCTCATTTCAGTCCAATTAATCATTAAACTTGAAATCCTCTCATTTAATACTCAGTCCATAGGCTGATTAACTCTTGTCTGAGCTAGTTTCGCCATATAAACAACTCTAAGTTGAACAAGTTAAAGTTTATTTAAGAGTCAAACTTAAAAGTTTGAACGCCCTATAATAAACTCTTGCTACCCATACATAACCCTGCCTTTCCTCTTTCTTGTTACTACAAGAATTTCAAGCAAGTTGGGGTCGGCTATATAGATCCTCACGTATAATGTCGTTCTGTTTAAGCTCATCTGAGACCAATATTTTACACATAAAATTAAAAATAGAAGTTACTAAAAGTTCACTATATATTTTATTGACGTTAAAGTTGAGGGTGTAGGTTAATATACCTTGTCAACTTTGATACCAGGAACAATGTTTTGTTCAACAAGAACATCAACTATTTTGCGGCCATCAACGGTTGACTGGTAGAGAGTCTCCTCGAAAAGAATAGCACCAGAGATGTACTGTCCGAGTCCTGGAGCTGTTACAAGCAGGGTACGGTAAGCTTGGCGGTTAGCCTCAGTGTTTTCCAAACCAATGGAAGCCAAACGCTTTCCGCAGGTGGCATTGGACTCATCCATAGCCAAAATTCCGCGTCCTGGTGATGCAACAGTTTTCTACAAGCAACAAACACTTCATTGTTAAAGCCCTTATTCCATTTATGATTTGCTAATTTAAATTCAAGCCGAATTAAACATGAAACTTAACGGATTCAAAATTCTGAATTCTTTGAAATAACTACATTTCAAGGTTATCACATACATATTGAAAAGGATTAGTTTAACTAAACCTAGTTATATTACTCTAGGTCAACTTAACTATCAGTAACAAGTTTTTACATTGTCGGTCCACAGAACACAAACTCAAACCTAAGAGTTCAAGTTTATAGAGTGAAAGTGTAAAGAATTTGTATACAATCAAAGGCGTACAATTATTTGGAAACTATTTCAAGCAAATGTGCATTCCCCCATTTTCTCCACGGAATAGCTAATTGAAGTACCTGAGACGCATTTCCTCTAGCTCCTCGGGAAGACATTATATTAGCTGGATTAGAGGGGCCAGTCATCCTAAAATTTAATTTAGCCTTTTCATGCTTTCTGTATCTAGTTATTTCGGTTTTCTATCAGCAACTTTAACTATAAGCTCAACTCTATTCATTGTTTGAGCAAGATACCACTAATTTAATATGAACATCTAAAATGAACAATTCAAAAGAAATCTTTCAATTTAATCGGTTATAACAAACTATTACTCTATTTTTCAGGGTAGCAAATCAGGCTAGATATATAGAAAATTACAAATATTTTAGGTCCATTTAAGCCAATAGCAAAAAAAATCTTTACACTGACATTGCATAGAACTTAAAATCGCTAAGCTAAAACTTACAGCGGTCTTAACAAGCTCATCAGCATATGGGGAAGCAGCGCGGACAGTGAGAGAAGAAGCATTTGTGGGGTGGCAGCGAACAACTGAGACAGAAGTTTGACGAAGGCTTTGCCCTTTTACAAACTCAGACTTGTCAATAACTGTTGGGGATGACTTTAGTAGAGATGCTGAGGCCATTTTTTCTAACCTTTTTTTCTTCTCTCTACTATAATCTCCTTATCTCAGCACACTCTCTTCTCACTCTTACTCTTTGCCACACAAATTTCTCAAACAGCGTGCCATAATTTATAACTGTGCTAATCTGATACTAAAGATGTCTCATTTGAGGTTGTTATGCTCCAACCAATGTCAGCTTGCCATGTAATATTGGTTAATTTGTCTACTTGGCACATAGTACAAGTGGTTGAAATAGAAGGAATGATTCCCACCTCGTAAAAACTATTCATAAAAAGTGAATTATGGTCTGTGGAGTTTAAAAACCTTGATTTTTTCTTACTTGGATTTTTGGAATTATTTGATGGTTGAAGCAGGCATCACAATCAAATTACACAATATTACAAATAAGTTGGTTTTTGCTCAAAGCAATGGAAGCCAAACGTGAGGCTCTGATTAGTAATCCTACCCTTGAGTAGTTGAGTGGCTTGGTAGCATTTCCCTGTTTTGCTTGCTGCTCCCGAGGTGATCAGTGGTCATGGTTCAGTTCTAGGATTGGGTTTGACAATGACTTTCAAATATTCAGAATTTTTTTTTCAATAACAGCACCTTAATTATTTCATGGTCAAATACCTACTATCTCAGTAGGTGTCGAATAACTTTAAATTCAACAATTTCCGGAGTAATTTGCGTGCACCACCTTAATTATTTCATACCTATTCGACCGGACACTTACTACCTCCCACCAGAGTAGATATCGAATAAATTTAAATTCAAAAATTTCAACATAAGCATCTGCGCAAATGAACTTTTCTAAGGCTACTGTTTAAAATCTGTCTCCGTCAATCCAGTGAGCTAAATTGGTAAATGAAAAAACTATCCATCTTTTAAAGACGAATTAACCCACTGAATTCGTCTAAAGAGACTGGATCATTAGGTCTCAGCAAATTTAGATCTGTGACTAGCAACTACTAAGAACTAATTCCCACTATTAATTGTTTGTCTCAAATTTTTGACGGCTGAAAGAAAAACTCAGAAAAATTTCACGCACCAAAGCTAAAACCCAATCTCTTGCATCACCTGATAGACTCCAGCCCAAAGGAAGGAAATTATCTATCTATACCTATATACAGGGAAACTTTAAGGACAAAGCCTGTTTTCTTACACTAGTTGCTACTTAATTATCAAGCTGAACAGGGGTAGTAACTAAAACACAGAACAGGGAAAAATCAGAAACAGTAAGCTGCAAACGGATGCTCTCAACCAGAATTTGGATTTGCAACATAACTTAGTCACTTATTGGACTCAACGACAGGTCATCGAGGCCAGAAATGAGATCATCAAGTAACTTATCGTCCAGCAGTACTCCAAGACTTTCGGCTTCTGAATGGGTGGAGTCTGAGGAGCTTCCTGCAAGCGCTTTGTTGAACTGTTTAACAAGTTCATCTTCCTCATCTGGAATGTCAAGTTCCCAGACCTTAAATATGTCAGCCAAATTTTCCTCAACAAATGTTGAAAACTCTGAATCTACTTCAGAATGGGAGTCTTCAACTAATCTCAGATCCTCATTATAGGTGGGAGGAAAATCATTTTCTGAGTTAATTCTGGACCAAGAACTATCTGTATCTTTGTTGTTAATCCGATGACGAGTTGTATTCCCTTCTTGTTCATTGGTTGGAGAAACATCATCAATGGTGTCATCTATCATCCCTGAAATTCCTGTCTCTTCGACGGTGGGGAAAATGCAAGATTCTTGAGGAGAGTCATCCCTCAAGACTGCAGAAAAGATTTTTTGGGAAGGAAAAGCGTCCGGTGACGCATGTTTCGAAGAATCCATGCCATGGTCTGATATAGCAAGATCTTTAATGAGGCATGAGTCAGCCCATGCTACATCCTCAGGTGAAAGCACATCTTCACTCTCGTTGCCACCTATAGAATTTAGATCAAGTGGAGAAACACTGACATCTTTCATGTCATCATCATCAGCCATGGCCATGGAGAGAAGTTCAGCCATATTCCTTAGCAACCGTCCTGCAACAGAAAGTACATAGGTAAAGCCTTCATGAACTATCAACGAACATTTTATAATACTAGGATCCAAGAAACCATCTACCTTCATCAAAAAAATACCAATCGACTCAGAACATTTCCAAATTAACTCACTTTTTCTGACAGAATACAGTATGTCTGACTGAATTAAGTAAGCAAATATAGAGTAGACTAGCTTTTAAGAAGTCCCTTTCTTTGTGGCGGTAATTGGGGTTCTATCTCAGGACCTCTATACACTTGCGGTTTATGACTCCAAGTCCAAGCACTAGCAACTAAAAGAAAACCACAAAGAAACGATCTCAAATGTCTTGAAACTGAGGTATCAATAACAAGATGACGACAAAAAAAGTGGGTTACTTGCATCAACAATTCACAACAAGGGAAATTCTTCAGGATAAAACCTAAAAAGTTATAATACCAGCCAGATAGAGACAGATGAATATCTTCAGTTGTTGTAGCAGTACTTATTGCTTAACTAAACGACGGATTCAGTTTAAAGGCTAAGTGTCACTACGAAGAGCCATGTAAGGATTAAAGATACAGAAGCATAGAGGGATGGAGGAATTGGATTTAATGATTTAATCCCTACTCAACCAGAAGGGAAAAGAAGATTTCACTCGAATAAAAGAGTCACTCATCATGTAAAGTCTCAGCGTAGTTGACAGAATCCCAAGGCAGAACCACACTGCAGGTACAGCAGACAGAACCAACATAACATCGTCAGTAAATGATAGAAAGCAACCATTGAATTTGCATATACTAGAACATCAGTAGTAAAACACCTTATACGCCAAAACCTAAGTTTTGACTATGATATATCTTTGGAAATTCAGAGATAATAAGCAGAATAACCAAAGGGTCCCTTCACATATAGAAACTAATGATATGCGATTATTCCTCAAGGATGCAATTCTATGATGAGTAATACCCAAAGGTATAACCTTTTCTCCATTCAGTTTCCACATCGACGAGAATTCAGTACTAGCTCATTCCTAAAGCTCCTAACTTGAATCCTTACCTGGCCTTCCTTTCCACTTCTACCTACCCCAAGCCTCTCCCACACAGCAAAAAGGTGAAAATAATTGACTTTAAGTCCAAACTTTACAATTTTCTTTCATCTTAATTCTGGAATGAACAAGTAGAGAAGGAAATACGAAGTACCAGCAAAATGCTAAAGAACCCAAATTAAATCCATATTCCTCTTTGTCAAAGTCATCAATTGTCATGTACCCACGAGACATTCAGTAGTTTACAATCACATTTTGCCAAGTCAAAGACATTCAGCAATACTTAAGTTTTGTCACTTCAATCATGTATTACTCTTCTAACAAAATTTAAGAATCTCAGTGATTGAGTTCAACAGTTCCTCATAAATCATTGGTTATAATACTATTAGATAATTAAATCAAGTTTCACGCCACCACATCAATGTTTTCAAAGGAAGAAAATATAGACCAAAATCAAGATGAATTATATCTAGTAAATCACCTAACTTTATATAGCCGCAGCCCGCAATTTGCGAAATGGGTTGAAAGAAATTTGAAACAATATCTGGAAAATGCGACTTCAAAACTTGAACTTTACTATCTCCCCCCAATGAAAAGAATAAGAAAATAAATGAATTATCGAAATAGTAAGCTACCCATACGAAGCCAGATATGTTAATTTATCACTTCAAGAAATCACGAGGAGCACACTTAAAAAACCCTAAATCCACAACGTCTACTTATGTGCCAGATTTCTCTAAAATAACCAGCGAGCTTAAAGAAAAAAGAAGTAACAAAAGAAATTCAAAAAGAATACCTATACGTCTGCTTATTTGCCTCTTCTGTTATAGAATCTATGGTTTCACCGGAATACGAAATAGGCAGGAGATTCTGAGAAGAATGAAGCTTCACCCTCGGCTACTTCTCGGGGAAAAGACGCAAAGAACAAAGAATTTTGGGCTTTCTGAAGTTTCGAATTAAGGGATTGAGCGTATTCTGGTGTGACAATCAAAATTAAAAATAAATGGAAAGTTTAAAACAAGTTAAATTCCGTTGCCGGGACTTGAACCCGGGTCTCTCGGGTGAGAGCCGAGTATCCTAACCACCTAGACTACAACGGATCTGTTATTGGAATGGCAATCATATTTCTTACGTAGTCTTGTACCCTTTAAATACGATCTATATATTTTATATCCTTGTGTAACTAAACATAGAATTTAAGAAATAAAAATAATATTATTGCTACTTATCAAAAGTAACTTACAACTTGTGATCTTCATTAATGGTAAGTTAAAAAGTTCAAAGTAAAAGAATTTCCAAATATATCATTCTTTTTTTAATTGACTAAAACGATAAGAATTTCATATAGAATAAAATGAATGAGGTATATATATTACCTCAATTTGTCACTTCTAAAGATTAGTAGTTAATTTGATTTATAAAGACAAAATGTGGATAAATTTTCGATACCAAAGATATAAGGGATCTTTACACAAATAGCCGGTCATTATTGTTACTTTTTCTAGCCATACATATAGATTATACATTAATTATATATAATTATACACATATAATACATAAATTCTGCAAAAATTATACATCCACCAACAATTTTTAGTTTAATGGTTGGATGAGCGGCTATTTGGGTTAATTCTTCAAGATAATAAATGGATGCACACCTGCTTCTCGTCTCTACCAACTCATTCCCTACCGTTCAATATAGAAAATTTTACCTCCTATAGCAAAGGTATACGCCCTATTTATTATAAACCAAAATTATTTTAAAATATTATTTTTTATAGCTACCTTTTATATTTTATAGCAAAATAAGTATTTATGGTATATACTACCATTGAGGCATGAAATAAGGCATGAAATACACTATTTATGTTTTTCCTCTCTCTTAGACAACCGAATTACCTATTTTAAAGGTGATTGTCGTTACTGTATTCATGAATACATGGCGCGAATACATGCGCGTACAACTGAACTGCCTTTATTTTAGGCGCTTTTTACTATTGTATTCATGAATACAGCAGCCCAAATACATGTGAATACATGCACGTACAGCTGGACTGCCCTGATTTATAGGCGCTTTTTGCTGTTATATTCATGAATACAACAATGCGAATATAACGAATACACTACTGTAACAACTGAATAATAGTTATATGAAGTGATTATGTATATGATAGATATAGGAAGTTAATAAACAAGAGTGGTTTCTGAAAATTACTCTTTAATATAGTATGTGATTCCTCTGCCTTGTTTCTTTTATCTCTTCAATTTCCTTTTACCAAATTCAAAACGAAATTACAAATTGACACAAAATAGTTGTGTTTCTTATTCTTCTTTCGAAGTGAATTTGGATGTACCAGTTTAAAAGATTTCAATGGTGTATGGACTAGAAAACAATTTTTTTTACGAGTGTTGCAATGGAACTTCAGGAGAATTGTTTTCAAAAAATGCTGTTTTTTGAGTTTTCGGTTTTTATAATTCTATTAATGCGACAAAAAATATATCATCAAGTGGCACAAAAACCATTAAAAACAAGAATGGTTAAGCGGTTAACTAAACTTTTACATATGGAAAAATAGAAAGAAAATTTCATGTTGAGAGGATCCAACTACTTCATTTGCAAAAGCCTTAAATTTTAAAAAAGAAAATGATATTCTATAATCGCTCTCAAGATAATAGTCGAAAAATATATATTTTTTTGTATATATATATATATATATATATATATATATTATACACAAAAAATATATATATTTTATATATTTTTACGGTTATCGAATATAAATAGTTTTGACCACAGTGATCTATGTCCAATTTAAAATAACAACAAAAATCACGAGTTACGAATGGTCCTTCATCCAAGGAGAGGCACAATCATTTTTAAGATTTAGTACTTCATTCTTTTCTAAAATTTTAAAGCAACATGTAACATCTTTATATTAAATTTGAACCACTTAATAATGCTCACTCACTATAAATGCCACAATAAGCTATTGTGACTATATATATTCTCATATGAATTGAAACCAAAGAGCCTCTTCCTTCTTAGCATATGCAAGACGAGAGACTATATATACAAATCATCAGCAGAAGCATTTGCTCTGGGACTCTTAACTAATGTTAGGATTAGCAGCAAAATAAGCAAGTGCACCTACAAATGGTGCATTAATATAAGTAGTTGGCTCGGACTTGCGAAAATCAACCCTACTATCATCATAAACATCATCTTCTCCAGGTCCACCAACAATTGCACCAACTAAAACATTAGGATTTGGCTGCGATGAGTTAAAATAAATCGAACCCTCTCTGCACGCGATGAACTGAGGATGATCTTTAATCGATGGAAGGGACGAGCCACGGTGATGAATTTTTGAAGGATAGTAATTACTATAACCAACCATGTAAGACATTCCTTTAGGATTATCTCCCAAAATGTAATCAACTTGTCTCTTACCAATTTTTCGAAGCATCGATGGATTGACACTAATAGTGCCACAATTCAAGACTTGTGATGATTTTTCTAAGTAATTTGCGTAGATGAGGAGTAAAAATGTGATGGTTGTAGCATGTTGTAAATTGCTTCCTCCTGGTTTGTAAATTAGGCCACCGGGAGAGTATTCTATATGTGAAGATGATGATTCTGGGATCAATGTGCACATGAAACTATCTGCTGATGCTTTGTAAGATTGAAGCGAATACACGCTCCCTTCTAAGACTTCCTGCATTATTAATCTCTGCGGCTTATCTTTATTCTCAAAGTAATAGTACTAGACAATGTTACTCCGCTCCAAAACTTTACCAAATAATTACCAAAAGTAGGTAGAAGAATGAATAATGAAACTGACCTTAGAAACAAGAACATTAAGACCAGCGTGCTTATTGTCCCATCCAAATTCATTGATGTTGTCATCGGCCCCAAGTGTTTGGCGATTCTCTTGTATGTAATTCATGTAAGTGTCACTCTGTGTAGCCCTCCTAAGCCACGCTGCTCCCCACAACAACTCATCCTATTACACAAAGGCTCATAATTACCGACAATATAAATAAATTTATATATATTCAATGTTATTTGACATGTTTAATATGTTATTTACCTTATTTTTCACTTTCAACGATCAATGCAGTTTAACATGTTATAATAGGTACTTATTCGAAAACTTTCAATAGTGTTAAAAGTGCCCGTACTAGATCACAGATTACTATACTGCCTTGTGCGACATCATTACTATTTTGAGAATATAACAACAACAATCTAGTGAATTCTCACAAATAGGAGTCTAGGGACTATTTTGAGAATAACAATTTATTTTTATTAAATATACATTGTAAAAATATTTTTAACTATGAAAAGATTGTGATTGTATCATTTATACTCTCTAAGTTAAAAGATGTTTAATCATGATATAAGGTTTGATAGCATTTTATTAAGTTACCAATTATGGTTATCATAAATATTTACCTATAATTATATTAATAAATGATATGATTGTATAATTATTTTCACATACCCATAGGCCATATCTTAATTATGCCTGGATTAGTTGTTTGTCAAATGATCTACAATAAATGAGTTAATTAGTTAGCAACAGAAGAATGCTTGCCTGATATCCATCAAAATCACAATAATACGGACAAACTCCATCTCTAATATTGACATTGTCACTGTAAGCTCCACGGTTCCTATCTGCAAAATCAAACACCCTAGTGGATGTTCTCAAAAGTGTGTCGGAATATCCGGGATCCGATGACCGGAAAGCAATGGATGCAGCTGCGAACGCAGCTGCAGTCTCTCCGGCCACGTCGGATGCCGGATTCGGAGCATCCACTGTATATACTGTCCTAGCAGTATCCATATCTTCTGGCCTTTCCCAGCAGTTATGGTCTAGGACTGGATCTCCCACCTATAGCATCAAAATACCAAAAGAAGTAAATAAGTCAGCTACCAAAAGTTATTGCTAGTAATGTCCCATTTAATTCTCTTACCTTTTCTATCCAAAGGAAATAAATTGTCACATGAGGCACTAGCTGTTCGAGATACACTAATAGTATAGAAAATATTACATTATATCAAACTACTTTTAAAAACTATTAATAATCTTTTATAAATAGTGGGAATCACAATCTGATACTTGCTATAACGTTAATTTTTTATATTGAAATTTATATAAGTTAAATTCTTTAAAGAATGATATTCTATCCGTTTTAAGTTACACTATGTGAACTTATTTGACTGTGTATGAAAAAAGAGAAGATTTTTAAATTTGTGGTGTAAAAAATAAGACCCATATATTTTATATGGCTATAAATTATTGCATAAAAGTAAATTGTTTCCAAATATGAAAAAAGATTATTATTTTTGGTATGCACTAAAAAGGAAATAGATTCACATATATTGAAACGGACGAGGGAGCAATCACACGAGTACTTAGCGGACACAATAAAGGACAAAAAAACTTAGCACAAAAGCGCGCGATATGCAACGTGACCTACTCTATAGCCTATAGGTAACAATTGTTTTTAGTTGGGCGGTAATACTTAAAACAAACAAACGTATGAAATTCACGTGATTGTCGAAATAGAATTTACCTTTACAAAATACTACTAACACATAAGGTAAATTTGAGTTACTATTGTAATTTTAATCTCTGACGGTAAAAAGAAAAAATTGACATAACCATGTTAGTTAAAAGCGACTACTGCAGTAGCGGAGTCACATGCATTCCTTGATTTTTTGGTGAGTTTATTTTTTTATATTTTGACTCCACTTAATAAAAATTCTGGCTCCGCCACTGACTACTTGAAGAATAACCCGCAAAAAGATAGGTAATTTGTATAATTAAATTCGTTTGAGACAAGAAACAACGACATAAATTCGTTTATGACAAGAAATAAAGACATATTTAGAACCTACTAATTCTTTTTAGTGGGAACTAACATGGGGTAATAAATCTAATCAAGATCCCACCAACCATGCCCGTGCACCAATCTTTT